AGCACTGGGTCACGGTCACCATGCCAACCCAATGGGAGTAGGTCACGCATGCGATGACTGCTGTCCATTTTGGCACTTGCTGCGCTGAATAGAAGTCCTGCCGGGTGTGCCAGCCCATGATAGACGCTTACCAGACCGTCTATAAAGATTTTTGGTGGGGAGTTCATTGTGAATCTGGCTGTGATCGTCGTCCTGACTGCGACGTTAAATAATTCCTGAAGAGATGGGGGCGCTCTCTAAATTCCTCCTGATCAGCCAGATCACATGGACAGGAAGGCCCGTCGCCGTACGAGGGTAAATAAGAGTGGTTGGGCTGGCTTGCTCGGTAACGACTTGGGCACAGGGGTGGGCCGACAAACACACGAAGACACCGCTTGCTCATTGATGCTGTCCGGTATGTTGGATTGAGGGGAGGGTAGGTTCCAATTGGTGCTCAACAGTATACACAACCATACCCACTCATCATACATCTGCAACATGGTCTTTTTGTATCTTTGATTAGTTGGTGGACAGACTGCTAACACCTCACAGACAGGATTAAGATTAGGACTGTTGTATGCTACCATAGCCAGTTCTGTCGAATGCTGCTGTAAGAGAACCAATCAGGATACTATGTTGACAATCTGTGTGAATGTTGTAGACATGCCACTTGATCGGTACAGTAGGGAACCTGCCGGACACAACTATTTTTAGAAAATTAGGTGCCGGTTAGACACATGCTGTGGTAGGACTCCACTAGGGGGTTCTAGTGCAGATAATGTTTGCTTAATTGATGAACGGGTCAGACGTCGATGAGGAGAGAGTTGACGATGCTAGACTAACACGTGCGAGATCACGTAGGATCCCGCACGTGTTCCAGACCTTACAACCGGAAGACGAAAGACGGCTTCGTGCCGAACGCAGAGCCCGTGCACTAGCAGCAGCTAGGGAAACAGCATACGCCGCAGCTTGGGAACAGGCTGCAGCAGCAGTCAGGGCAGCAGCCATGACTAGTTCAGCAGCATCCTCTGCTGCGCTCTCTGGGACCAATGGGACCCAGTTGGGAATGCCAACAGGGTCCACGGGTACTTTCAGTTCGTTGGGTTCTCGCCAGTTTACAAGTCAAATGGCGGGCGCGCAGTTCAGCCCGCTGACTCCTCGCGAAAGGGAGCTCAGGGAGCTCCAGCAGGTCGAAAGGATCGTGAACAATTAGAGAGGGACCTGAAGAAAGCAACCGATAGAGAAAGAGAGATTAAAAATAGAGCAGCCAGGCTTGATACTTTAGAGGCTGACAAAGCGGAGTTAGAGGGTTTGGATGAGTCAGCATTGACTAACCAAATGAAAGTACTGAAGAAAAATATGTTGTCGTTGCATGCGCACGTGGACAGTAGATTAGACTTCATGCAGAGCACTCTAGACCAGATCCTGGACGTTCTGACAAGGCCAGGATTTAGGCCTCCAGCACAGTCGCCGTTGCCGTTAACGGCAATGTCAGGCCCCTTTCCAGCACAAGCTGGCACACAGCCAAGTGGCACGTCTGCAGCAGCTGCACAGACTGTTGCATCTTCTTCTTCGGGTCCAGCGGTGGTTGCTACACCACAGCAACAATTTGTTCCGCAACAGGGACAGCCACAGAGTCAATGGTTTCCTAAGACCCCAATGAAACCGCCTCTTGCCTTCTCAGGCGTGAGAAAGGACGAAGAACTCAACACTTGGTTGAGAACAGTCCCGGTTTGGGTGAAGGCAAAGAGGACCTTGCTGGAGGACGAAGTGGTTACTGGTGCATCTTACCTTGAGGGTAAGGCAACCGAATGGCTAGATGGTGTAGTTGTGAAGGCCGGGTACGGACGACGTATGGTGGACTGGGCTAAGTCACTTACGTTAGACCGGTTCATGGAGATGGTAGAAGCTCGATGGCATAATCCACAGGAGGCACAAAGAGCCACCGATGCGATCAATAGACTAGACCAACGAAAGTTCAAGTCAGTCAGAGAGCTTACGACTACCGTGGAGAGCCTGATCGTCGTCCCTGGCATCAACTACAGTGACCAGTTCGTGTTAACTACGTTTGTTAGATGTCTTCCAGAGAACATCAAGAACTTGCTGGCCAGCGAGGCCCGCCTCGAGTACCATTCGTTTGAAACATTGTCTAGGAAAGCCTTAGATTTGGAGTCCAATCTAGGCAATGCTCAACCCTCCCAGAATGACACGAAGAAGAAGAAGAGTCCGCAGGAGTAAACAGAGATCGATGAGCTCACCGACCTGCTGGACACTTCAGAGTACGACGGTGAGGAGGTAGCTGAGGGTAGCACCCTCGCCGTAGTAGTTAAGGCTAAGGCTGGTGGCCGAGTGAAGGGTCAACCAAAGAGTCAAGGGAAGGCCGCCTCCAATCAGACCAAAGTGGCTGATTGGGTGAAGGCAGGTAGAAGTGTGGCGGGACCGCCGAGTGCAAGGTGCTTGTATCAACTGTGGTGAATACAGACACACCCAGTACAAGTGCCAGAACGCTAAGGTCACGCTGAAGATACCTCCTAAGATGGGGGCATCTTCTTCCCAGGCTTCTAGCTCGGGAAACCAATGAGGCCGGTGGAAGTTTTAGCTGCTTCTACTCAAGATGAAGTGGGCTCGATACCCTCCCCACTTCATGAGCAGGCCAAAGCTAATGACTCTTTAGTCACCCCGCAGATTCATCTAGACCAAACTATGCTATTACGTTAGATGTGTCTAAAGCCTTGGAAGACTTGGAGAGTGAGTGGTCAAACAAGGACCCTCGCGAGTCTTGGGTGGCGCTAAGGAAAGGTCCTAGAGGGGAACATTTCGTGGTGGATGTCGATGTAGGAGGCCGCAAATGTGGTGCCTTCATAGACATAGGCTCCACGCGGAATTACATAAGTCGCTACGCGGAATTACATAAGTCGCGACTGAATGGAAAGGCTGCACCTACAGGACCGGGTACGGCACCTTAGTAGACCTGTAGCATTTACTTTGGCCAACAAGGAGCGCATGATTGTAACAGACTATATCAAGGACGTAGTCTGTACCTTCTCCTATGGAGGAGGAGTACTTAATCGTAAGATTTCGTTATTGGTTAAGGACGACTTACCATTTGATATGTTGTTAGGCATGTACTACCTTGAGGTTGCTAAGCCCCAGTTTGACTGAGATAAGAAGGTGCTAAAGCATAAGTTGCCCGATGGCAGAACAGTCAGATTGACTAAGTTCAAAGCCAATAGCATTATAGATACTTGTGGCTGCTTGTGCGCATCAGCGTTCTATAACTATTATAAGCAGAATCAAGAGGAAGGTATGTACCTAGTGTATGTCTCTGAGAAAGGGGAGGTCGTTAAAACACCCCCAGAGATAGAACGTGTCGTTGCTAAGTTCCCTGATCTGTTCGAACAGCCTACAGGGGTCGTAGAAAGGGAAGTTGTCCACGCTATAGAAATCATTCCAGGGATTAAAACCCCAAAGGGAAGGATCTATAGGATGGCTCTCGCGGAGTTAGATGAACTCCGGCGACAACTGAAAAAGCTGACAGAGAAGGGATGGATTCGGCCTAGTACTTCCCCTTACGGATCTCCCGTGCTATTCGTACCTAAGAAGGGGGGTACATTGAGGATGTGCATTGACTATAGAGGCCTCAATGCCATCACAGTGAAGAACGCAGAGCCTCTACCTCGCATAGACGACCTACTGGATAGGGTGCATGGATGCAAGTACTACACAAAGATAGACTTGAAATCCGGCTATCATCAGATCGCTATAAGACCTGAGGACCAACACAAGACAACTTTTCAGACACGTTATGGTCTGTACGAGTTTGTAGTGATGCCCTTTGGTCTTTGCAATGCGCCGGGAACGTTCCAGCACGCTATGAATCGGATCTTCCATGACCATTTAGATAAGTTTGTCGTGGTCTACCTAGACGAGATTCTGATCTTTAGTAAGTCTGTCGAGGAGCATGCACAGCATGTTGAGACGGTACTTTCACTCCTTCGACAGCACAAGTAAAAGGTCAACTTAGAGAAGTGTGAATTCGGTTCCACTAAGATATTATACTTGGGTCATGAAGTATCCGCGGAAGGGATTAGGCCGGAAGATGCGAAGGTGGCTATACGCGACTGGCCACGACCTCAGACAGTCACTAAGGTCAGATCTTTCTTAGGAATGTGCGGTTATTATAGGAACTTGGTCAAGAACTATTCTACAGTCGCCTCTCCTTTGACTGATCTAACTCGACTTGACACGCCATGGGACTTGAGTGATGAGTGCAAGGGTGCTTTCAAGAGATTAAAGCATGCACTCATGAATCATGAGGTCCGTATGGTTTCCGACCCTCAGAAGCCATTCATAGTGACCACTGACGCAAGCCAATATGGCATTGGCGCAGTGCTGGCTCAACAGGATGGGAAAAAGTTGAGACCAATTGAGTACATGAGCAAGAAGATGCCATCAAAGAAATTGGCAAAATCCACCTACAAAAGGGAACTCTATGCTCTATATAAAGCACTTGTCCATTGGAGACACTTCCTATTAGGAAGATTCTTCTACTTGAGGACTGATCATCAGACCCTCAAATGGACCAAGACTCAACCGGCTCTTTCTGATGCACTCAAGCGATGGATTGAGGTCATAGATCAATATGACTTCAAGCTTGAGTATCTAAAGGGAGAGTACAATAAGGTTGCAGATGCGCTATCACGTAGGGCAGACTACCTAGGTGCGCTAGTTTCCGACTTTGGGTGTATCTGATGAAGTAACTCAATCGTTGGTGGGAGCCTATCAGGAAGACCCTGTCACGATGGACATCATTCGCAAACTTCAGGCAAAAGACAAGGCCATAGAGAGTGAGTTTGTGATGGTGGACGGGTTTCTCTATCTTGATAAGGCCGGAATAAAAAGATTAGTAATTCCATCTAGTGAACGTTTGCGTAGTTTATTGCTAGGAGAATGCCATGACGCAACCGGGCACTTTGGCTACAAGAAGACGAGTGCGTGCCCACAAGAAGACGAGTGTTAATCTAGTACAACGATTTTGGTGGCCTGGAATGTTAGATGACGCAAAGAAGTACGTAGAGACCTGTCAGGTCTGTCAGCGGGACAAGCAAAAAACTCAAGCACCGCTTGGGTTGTTGAATCCCTTATCTATCCCCGCTGGTCCAGGACCGAGTGTTTCCATGGATTTCATGGACACCCTGGTGACCAGCAAGAGTGGCAAGAGGCACATATTCGTCATCATCGATCGATTCACCAAGTACGCTAGACTAGTTGCAATGCCAGAGACCGCAAGGATTGACCATGTCATGAAGTTGTTCAAGGACAACTGGGTGCGTGACTTTGGTTTACCAAAGACCATCGTTAGTGACAGAGATGTCCGCTTCACAAGTGAGCTATGGAAGAAGACTGCTGAACAAATGGGCAGTCAACTTCAGATGACTTCAGGGAATCATCCCGAAGCCAACGGGCAAGCCGAACAAATGAACAGAGTTGTACAACACTTGCTGAGGCATTACATCAAGCCCAGCCAGGATGACTGGGATGAGCAATTGCCTCTCATCGCCAGCCTGTACAACAATGTTGTACACAACAGTACCGACGTTAGTCCTAACCAGCTGCACTTGGGATGGAAGCCTAGATCCGCCCTAGACTTCCTCCTACTTGAAAACCGACCCGCAAGCAATGATTGCTTCTGAGAATCAACATCGTAGACAGTCCTCATTTCAGGTAGGGGAACGAGTCTGGGTCAAGGCTAGTGAGCTAGGACAAGAATTCGGAATCTCTCGTAAACTAATGCCTCAGTACTTTGGTCCATGGGAAGTCCTGGATATAGTGGGAGATGAGATGGATGGTCCCACACATGTCATCCGTGTCCCTGGACACCTACGCACTCACCCTGTCTTTCATGCCTCAAAGCTTGCACCTTTCGCTGAGACAAATCAATTCCCTTCCAGGAGATCGATGCTGCCCCCAACCATGGATGGTCAAGTGGACATCGACGACATAGTGGATCACAGGGACATGCCTGTTCCAAAGCCGCTGGGCCGAGGAAGACCTCCCAAGCCCAAGAGAGAGTACCGCGTCAGATTCAGGCATCACACGGATCCAAAAGAAGATCGTTGGTTTACCAGAGAGGAACTGATAGAGACAGGTGGTGGCAGATTATGAGAGAAAGCTGAAAGGGAAGGCACCTACGAAGTAAGCATCTCAGCGGACTTTCGAAGCTAAGGGGGATGGAATGTGAGGATTGAGCCCTCAAGAAGGGGCCTTGCCATGATGTACATGTTCTGGGCTAAGGCCCCAGCAAGCCTCGTGCCCGCCAAAGGTGGGCCAGCAAATCAATAAGAGCCCTCTGTGCAAACATTTCACGAAGTGGGGTCCATACAGTTGCAGCACGCCAGTTGGTTGGAGTGCACCGAGTCTCGGATCTCAGCAAATGCTGAAAGCCCAGGGCCTCTGAGTTAGTTAGGCCCTGGGGACTCGAACGTGAGGCCGACAATGCATGCTGGGTATAGAGGCTGAAAATGCCAAAGGGAAATCGGCCCACTATCTGAATCTGGCCGCAGGCCTTGACAAAAGAGGCACAACTGCATCATCGGGGCCCCAACTGCATCGGGCCTGGGTTCAGGCACTGGGGCCCAGTCGCAGGCTGAAGGGAGGCCGCCCACACGCAACACTGGCATATAGGCAAGCAGGGCGAGTGGGCA